TGTGAAGTGCTTCACAAGGGCACGGGGTGACAGGCCGAGGGAGGGTGCCGGCGTGGAAGAGAGTGCTCCGCTCAGGCCGTCCCTTTTGTCCTTCCCGGTCTCCAGAGGGCACCTGCCATTAACCCTGCTGCACGGGAGACTGAAGCTCGGAGAGGCCAAGGGAATTGTCCAAGGTCTCGCACCCAGGCTGATGGCAGCGTGGGGATCAGGACAAGGTCTTCTGACTCGCTCCCACCCTCTGTTCTTCCCCAGTGCCAGCTGGGCACCTAAGGGTGGGAGACACCCCCGAGCTGCTCTGGGGTGCTAACTCCTGTCCGCCCTGCTACCCTCTGAGCTGCCTTCACAGAGGTGATGGGACCTGGGGAGGAAAGTGCCTCTCGCTATGGCAACAAGGTGGGGAAACTGAGGCACACGCTGGGCAGCTGCTGCTAGGCTAGACTGAACAGAGCACGTCAGGTGTCTGGTTCATTCACTCCCACCAAGCTGGGCTTTGTCGGGGAGATAATGGAGGCACGGGAGTTTGCAAGGAACAGGGACGGGACTGGAGGTCTAGGGCTCCCTCCCCTCAACTGCCTCAAGGATGGGAGGGTGGCCATTTACTGCAAGGCGCTTGCAGGAGCCCAGGCGGCAGGGGCCACAAGCTGACATAATGGGTGCATTTGCAACCACAGGATAAACCAGCACCCCATCAAGAAACCATCAAGAGTCACAATCAATTTTCTCTGGGCCTGGGACAGGCGGTAGGCTGTGTCTGATGGAAGAAGAGACTCAGGCCACCAGGCAGGGGCCCTGGGGAAGACATCCCAGCCTGGTGCCCCATCAGAGAGCCCAGGGAGGGAGCTGGGGAGGAGCCTGACCTCAGAGGCCCTTGTGCCCAGGACCGCTGCCTCTCGAGAGACTGCCGTGGCCTGAAAGTCTCACCCCCGTGGCTCCCTCTCCCCCTAGCCATCAGCCTTTTCCACGTGGCTTCTTGTGGGGGTCTCTGAGGTACAAACCCTCATCTGTTATGTCACTATTCTGTCCACCTTTGGGGAAAAGCCCTCACATTGCTTAAGTCTTTTTTTTTCTTTCACATAATTTTTAACTTACAGAAAAGTTGCAAATATAACGTGAGAATTTTCATATACCCTCTCCCCAGCACAACTGTTTAAATCACTTGCTTTACCATCTGAGTGCTCTCTCTTGCACGTCTCTCTGCATTCGATCTACACACATACAATCTGCTCAGAACCGTCAGAGCGTAAGGTGCTACAAAGTTCACAGGCATGATCACAATCCCAGTCCTGTCCCCTCAGGCCAATTCATGGGGTTCACTGCCAGACACGCGCACACCCCCCTCCTTTGTGCTGAGGGGTGTGAAGGAGGAGGAAACTGAGGCCCAGTCTGCTGATGTACGGTGCCCTTCCTACTACACGGAGCCACGCACACCTAATTCTCAGCATAGAGCAGACAGACCCCTCTCTGTGGACTGTCTTCCCGACATGATGATGCCGGAAACATTTTTAAAAGAAACCAGAATAAAGAGCGGGTCCAGACCCGGTGATGGAGATTCTCTACGGTGCAGTGTTGACTCCCAAGTTCCAGGCAGGAGCGGGGCTGGGGGCGGGTAGTGAGGGGCTCCCCACTCAGGCCCTGGGCTGCGGCCTCCAGAGCCTGCTCTCTGCTTCTTTCTTTTTCCTTTTCTTTCCTCAGACAACTGGGATGAATGCACTCCTCTTCATCCCAGAGCCCTGTGGCACAGGGCCCAATGAATGAATGAATGAATGAATGAATGAATTTGAATCTGAGATCTGAGTTCATGCTGACTTCCCCGGGTGGGCTTCTCAACCCCTCTGAGACTCAGTGTGCTCGTAGGTAAAATGGGACCACACCAAGCACTTAGAATGCAGCTGCAGACCGTTAATTTAGATGAGATTTGTGCCACAAGGCAGTGGGGGGGTGAGTCTGCTGAGACTGTGCTCTGAGAAATGAACCAGAAATGGGGAGAAAATGGGAAGCAAAGCCAAGGAAGCCTAAATATGAACACTCCAGATCGTGGATACGCGTGCGCACACCCGGCCTTGCTCAGCACATCTACCGCTTTGCAGTCTCTCTGACAACTCCCCTTCCTTTTGGCTTGAGACGCTCAGAGGCCCAGGATGCAAAGCTGGCAGCCAGGGGCTTTCCCTGCAAACACAAATGCGCCGGTCTCTGTGGTACATCTGACAACACAGCCCCGGGGGCATGGGAAAGAGGGGCGCCGGGAGAAGTGGGTAGGAGCTGTCTGCCTCACGCAGGTAAGACACAGAGCCGAAAAGCAATGCAGAAGAGGGAAGTCGTACAATCCTATCAACACCAGGGGCCGTTTATAGGAGATCACGTTGCCATAAGCAGAATGCCAATAAGCCATAAGCAGCCCTGGTGGCCGAAGGGGAAGACGGATCTGTCTGTGTGAGTTTGCACACGTGCGACTATTTGCGTGTGTGCATGAGAGTGTGAGTGTGCCTGTGTGTATGGGTGTGTGTGAGCGTATGTGTGACTGCCTGTGTGTGCAGATAGTAGGGGTGTGTATGTGAGTGTGGGTGTGAGTGCACACGTGTGACTGCATGCATGTGTGTGCACGTGTGTGTGTCAGGGACATCACAACACAGGTTGGGATTGTTGATGTTCATGAGCTGCTTTTCTCCTGCTCACTTCCTGAAACCATGTGTGTCACGAAGATCAGCAGCCACCACCAACGGACCTTCTCCAGGCTGGGCACGGGGCTGGGCCGGGGCACCAGCTCAGCTTTCCAGGCGGACGCGGTCCTGAGTCCTAGAATCCCAGATGCCGAACCAGCGCCGCCGTCCTGCCTGGCACAGCCTGGATGGTGGACGCCAGCGTTCAGGGGAAAAATAAAACAGATCTTCCTCTCGTGAGATCTGTCTGAACCACCGGGCTTCCCACCGAGCCCTTCCCTGGATCCCAGGGCTCCCGTGGAATTAAAGAAGAGAGAGTCACTCACCGCCTGAAAGCCAGCCAACGGGTGATTATTCCACTTTTCCTGGAATGAGCTTTCCACACTTTCTCTGGCTGGAGCCATCGGCAGCCAGGGCTCCCACCTCTCCGACCTGCTCTCACACTCTCTGCAGCTCTTTACAAAAGCTTTCAAGTAAGTCACTGCTACGTGAAATGACACTAAGAGAGGAGGCCGGCTCCTTGTGCTGGGGGACCCGAGGAGGGGGGCTGCCACGGAGCACTCAGAATTCACTTCAGATGAAAGCAGGCGGGTTGGTGGGGCAGCCCCGCTCTGCTGTCCTTCTGACTTTCGGGCTTGCTGGGATCACTGAACACACACATATGTCACCCAAGCAACCCCCCCCAACCCTGGATGCACATGAGAGGCCCCCGGGGGACAGAGTCCCCCCAGCTGCAGCATGCCCCCGCGGTGGCTGAGAGCAAAGACGGGAGCCGATCGATCGCCGCCACACGTGGGGCAGACCTCTTTTGTGTCACATTGGATAATTCCTTGCGCCAGCAAACCAAAAGCAAACCAAACAAAACCAGCACACCGCCCCCCCACGCACCACTCAATTCATAAACTTATCGGAATTTACAGCAAACCAACGAGAGTCCAGACACGGGTAATGTCATTAAGAAGCCTGCACAGCGCCCAGATGCCAGGAGGGTCTCTGTGACAGACTCCAGGCTCAAAGCGAAGGGAAAGCAAGACGGCGCAGACATCTGCAGACACAGAAGCATTCTCCTCATCCAGCCCAACAGGAACCAGCCTGATTATGAAGGGGAAGCAACCAGAATGCAGGGTGGAGGGCAGCCTGGGAGAAACAGGGCTTTGTGGGATGTGCAAATGTAGTTGGAAGAGGCCCGACCGCAGAACCAGACAGGGAGACCTGTCTCGGGCCGCCCTCGAGGCGGATTTGTTATTAAAGCAATCTGTCAGAGAAGACACTGAAACAGAATATATAATCCACCAGACGCCTGGGAACCTGACTCTGAGACACATAGCTGCCGTTTCAGCCCCCCGCATCGGGCGCCACCTTCAGAGTCTCGAACTGTTTCCCCTCATACCTGCACCAAACTTTGAAGCTTCCCTGTGAGTCAGACAGGCCACTTGGCGCTCGCCTTCTATTTAAAGATCACAGAGGGCTTCTCAGACACCATTCAGCCCGTGGCTTCTAAGGACTGGGTACTAAATCTGTTCCCTTTGGGCCTCACTTTCCATTAACCTAGGAGATGTTCTAGTTGACCATGGGAGATTCACCCCTCCGCTGCTGTGCAGGAGGCAGAGGTAACAGAGAGGGGGCTCCCTACCCCCCAACCCCCCCCCCAGGGCGCAGATCTGGGGAATGCCCCAGGATCTCAGCCACTCCCTCCAGGAAACCCATCCTAAGCACCATGGCTGGAAATGGGGAAGACAAGACAGAATGCCGACCCACTGGGCAGCGGTCTTTAATCCCGTCTGCACCAAACTCTGCCGAGGGACTGTCCCAAACAGATGGCCGAGCTGCCAGGAACTAGCCAGCAGATGCTTCTCGCTTCCACTATCCTCTCGGAGATTCTTTGTCACGGGGACAACACATTCCCCCACTGAACTCCATTTCCAGGTGAGCGTGAACTAGGCAGAGATGCGCAGCGCGTGGCGGGGGGGGGCCCGCTGGGGAGCTCTGCCCCATCTGGGCTGCAGGTGCGGGCCTCGCCATGTCCCCTCCCCCCCGGATCAGGTCCGGGAAAGCAGGCTGCCCGTGCTATGTAGCAAGTACATGGGAAAACAGGAGTGCAACAGACAGCAGCGGGCCCAAGCGCCTGGGGCCGGGAGCCAGGCTGCTCACAGCCCTCCGGAGACCCGACGCCCCCCAGCTGTGCTGAGCCCCCTCCCAGCCTACGAGGCAGGCCATGCCTCTCCCTCCGCAGCTCCCTCCAGCCCCGCTACTCAGAGAAAACAAGCAGCCCACGTGACCAGACCGAGCCTTCCTTGCTAATAAACCCGTCCTGAGGCTGTGACAGTTTTCGCGGAAAATTACCTTTCAGGAAGAAAATGTAAGGAAGGGGCAGAGGGGGGACTGAGTGGGAGAGCCGGAGCGGCGCGCGGCAGCCCCCCATGTCTGCGGAGGTCCGCCCGGCTCCCCATGCTGCCGGCCTCAGGGAGCCGCCCCCGGCTCGCAGCTCCGCAGGCAACCCTCGCCCGGAGCGCGGAGGTTCCCGGACGGACAGACGGCCGGCCGGCCGGCACGCAGGAGCCCGGGGCTGGCGGGGACGCAGGAGGCAGGGAGGCCGGGAGGAAGAGGTGGGGAGAGGGGAGGGAGGGAGGGAAGAGGGAGAACTGCTTCTCTCTCCTCCGCTGGGACCACTGAGCTAAGTTGCCATGGAGAAGGGGGGGCCGCTGGCAGAGCCTGAGGCGGGCGGAGGAGCCATATGCCGGAGGGAAGGCGTCAGCCGAGAGCCAATCCGCACCTTCTCCCGGCGCGCAGCCTCCCCCAACCCAAGCCTCGGGCCCACGGCGGCCCAGGGGCGCAAGGAGCCGCTAGGCGCGGCGGGAGCCTCGGGCTTCCTCACCCGGCTCCTCGCTCCGTCACGCCCTGCCCTGCGGAGAGCCGTGCTCCCATCTCAGGTCGCGCTGCCGGCGGACCACGGGGGCTGGGACCAGAGCCCCTCAGACCGCCTGGGCAATGCCTGGGGCCCTGGCGTCCGGGGAGGCACTGCAGACCTCCACCCGCCTCCCCATGTCTAAAAATCAGAGGGGCCGGACCCTGAGTCACAGGCCCCATGAGCGTCAGCCACGTCTCCCACCCTCAGGAACAAGTGTGTCCCCCCGCAGAGGGCTCCTTTGCTCAGAGCTGCCTATGCGGAGGGGCAGGATGGGGGGGTGGGCAGGGGATGGGAGGCGGACTCTCCAGGACACCTGCTCCCACCTGCCAGCCGGGCAGCCCGGCTGCTTCCATACAGAACCCAACTCCAGGGCCGGCCTTTGCCACTGGCTCGGTCGCACTCCGAGCAGCAGAAATGGGGCTGGGGAGAGAGCCAGGAGGCCTGGCTTGGGGGTCTCCGTATCTCCTCATGGAGATCACGCAAGGGGGCAAGTCCAGCCATGTCTCTGGGCCTCAGTTCCTCATGACAAGGGAGGATAAGCCCACCACCCCCCTCTCCCAGCCTGCACCCCCAGGCCCTGGGACACCCGAATGGCCGGGCACCGGGAAACACACCACCTCGGGGAACCCACCCCACACCCCACCTCTCCTCGCTCCCCAAGATGGACTGGATGAAGGCTCTACACAGCCTGAAGCCAGCACAGAGGCCTTGGCTCGCTGCTCTGACGCAGACAGACCAAAGGGTGGCCCACGCGGGAGTCCAGCCTGAAGGCCGCAGCCTTACAAACATTCTCCCTTCATGGTCTTTTCATTCGTTTATTTTTATAAGTTTTTATGTACGTATGTAAGTAAGTGAGTGAGCTCTAGGCCCAACGCGGGGCTTGAACTCATGACCCTGAGCCAGCCAGGCGCCCCTCCCTTCACAGTCTTGTTGTCACCTTTTCCCCTCGACCCTTTATTATGAAGATGCTCAAACATACGGCCAAGTCGAAAACATTTTATAAAGCACATCCCTCCACGCACCACCAGAATCCTGCCATTCTGTCTCACTTCTTTAGTGTGGCAAAACGGATATAACCCAAAACTGACCATTTTCACCATTTTAAAGTATTCGATTCGGGGGCCTGTGGTACATTCACAGTGCTGTGCAACCATCTTCTTCAGTTCCAGAACATTCTCATCGCCCCCAAAACCAGATAGCCTCTCACTTTCCCTTCCTCCTCTCCCCAGCCCCTGGCAACCACCAGTCTACTCTCCATCTCTACGGATTGACCTCTTCTGGACATCTTCTATCAGTGGAACCATGCACTATGTGGCCTTTTGTGTCTGGCTTCTTTCGCTTGGCATCATGTTTGCAAGGCTCACCCGGGTTGTAGCAGGTGTCCGCGCTTCCTTCCTCCTGGCGGCTGCACCATAGTCCCACTGGATGGATGTGCCAGATGCATTCATCCTTGGAGGGACAGGTGGGTTTTGGCTAGTGCTCTCTCATTTTTAAAAAGAGTTTCTTGGCGACACATCCTGAAACCCCTCCTCAGGGATTTGGTCTCGAGGGGACAGGCTGAAGAGGCTCCAAACTGAATATTAAGCCCTGATTTGCCTTCTCATTAAAGATTGCTCCCCACCGGTAACAGAGCACAGGAGGCAGGGGTCCCAGAGCCCGTGTGTGGCCAGCAGATGAGCCTTGACCTCCTCGGTCCCCAGCTCGCTGGGCAGCAGGACACAGGAGCATGCCAACCCCACATCCGTGCTCCGAGACCCAACAGACCCGGGCTCTAGTACTCTCCGGCGCCCACGGGCTACACAACCAGCAAGTCAGTCCCTGCTCTGAGCCTCAGCTTTTACATCTGTGAAATGGGGGCAACAGTCTCCATCGTGGGGTTGTGCTAGAAATGGGATGGGCACCGCCCCATAGAACTTTCCTTGATGATGGACGTGTTCCATGTCGGTACCATCCTGTATGGCCACCACCAGCCCCACACAGCTCCTGAGCACCTGTAGTGGGGCTCTTGTGGCTGGGAAATGAAATTTTAAATTTTATCTCACTTCAATTTAAAATGAAAATCTAGTAGTCGCAGGGAGCTTGTGGTGATCGCCCCGGACAGCCCCAAGGACTTGTTGAGATGGGACGGTGGGACACATGCCCAGGCTAAGCACCCAGCTCGCAGCCCTGCTCCTTCATTTCTCCCTCTCCCTACTTACCCCACATTGTCTGGGTGGTAGATCAGGCTTCTGTCTGCAGCCTGGCCCCCGAGGCCCCCTCTAAAAGGACAGAGGGCAGGTGGTCGGGCTCTCAGGGAACAAAGCAGGCCCCAGCTGGGGAGTGGGCTCAGAGGACTCCATAATGACGTGGATCCTTGAACCACTGACCTCTCCTCCTGTCCCTACTGGCCCCAGACCCCTATTCTAGAACCCCATCTCCTGCCGTTTCCCCCAGCAACTCCTGAGGTCATCCCTGGAATGTCTGGGCCAGAGCTATAGGATTGGAACAGACCCTCCCCCATTCCTAAAGTGGCAGCCGGGACCCCTGTGGGGATGTGCAGCAGGTCCTCGGTCCCAGGCTGGGCTGCTGGGCTGGGCCCCCAAGGAGACCATCCCAAATGCGTACAGAAGCTTTCGAAGATTCCGTCTGCCAGAATCCAGACCAGAATCCCATCCAACCTGCTCACTTTGCAGAAGCAGAAACCCAGACTCAGCTGGAGGAGCACGGGCAAGGCAGGAAGAGTTGGGGGCTCAAGCCAAGCCCCCAGCTCTGCCCAGTCTGCATGGGCCTCCTTAGAAGCCACTCTGGAACCTCCTGAGTAGGAGGGGCCCCACGTCAGGGCAGGTCCAGGGCCCAGAGATGGCTGCGTGCTTCCAAGGAGCTATGCAGCTTCAAAGCCTGAACAGCAGGAACTGAAACCTAGCCAAGCCAGCCCACTCCTGTCCCTGACCTACCCCAACCCGCCCACGATGGGGAGGGAGAAGTGACATCTGGGGACTGAAAGGGAGGACTCCAGAAAAATCTGCCGCAAAGAACCACAGCTCCTGGTGTGAACACATGAACAGGTGTGGTCACCCAGAGCTGGGAGATACTACTGAGGACAGGGAGCCCCAGCCTGTCCCCACTCCCCACCCCCCACCCCAGCAAAGCCTCTTACTTCCCAAGAGCCCCTGCCTCCCCCAACAGAATGGCCAGAGGGATCCCCTTCAAACCGATGCCCCATGCTGTCCAGCATCAGTAGCGGCCTTCCCTCTGCCCACAGCCGCCTCCCATGCTCACTAAGGCCATCCTCCGCCTTCACCCCAACCGGGCACCGCCACCCCCCCAACCTTTCTCACTTACTTCACAGCTTTGATCCTTATGGAAGACACTACCTACTTTTCTTTCTTCTTCTTTTATTTTTATTTTTTAAATTGTGGTGAAATACATCACATCAAATTTACCATCTTAACCATGTTTAAGTGTCCGGTTCCGTGGCATGAAGCACACTCACACTCTCGTGCAGCCTTCACCACCGTCCACTTCCAGAACTCTTTCGTCTGGCAAGACCGAGGCTCTGTCCCCTTTTAACGCTAACTCCGCACTCCCCCTCCCCAGCCCCAGGCACCCACCCCTCGCCTCCCCACCCCAGTCTGACTCCTCTGGGCATCTCAGATACATGGATGCACATGGTATTTGTCCTCCCGTGTCTGGCTTCGTTCACTCAGCATGTCCTCCGGGCCCATGCATGGTACAGCACATGCTTTTACGAAGACAACAACCATCTCTCCCACTGCCGTGGAGGCTGCATGAGGACAGGTACTGGGGTTGGCTGTCCTCACTGCTGCACTCCCAGCTCTCCGAGAGCACCTGGCACTGAGCAGGCACTGAATGAATCTTTTGAATGAATGAACGAATGAATGCATGCATGCATGGAAACTTGGCAGAGGTCAGTCACTCACAGGTCTGGGCCTGCCCCTCCCACCACTGTGGACCAACTCCCAAGGATGGCGGCCGCTCCCCATGCTGCTCCCCACTCCTTCCCTGCAGTCTCATGCCTGCCATTCCTAGGGGTGACCACACCCAGCACCGCAGGACTCCCCCATGGGCTTTCTCCGCAGACCCGGCTGGTCTATGGGAGGATTATTACAGGGACAGAATGAGTGCCCTGCCATGGGCGTGACAATTTGCTCTGAAACCTCACAGCAGCTAGCGCGGTGCCCAGAGGTGGGGAGAGAGAGGTGAGCAAGGGCCTGGAGCGTCCCGTTCTGCTCCTGGACTAGGGAGGCCGGCACCCAGCAGGGCAGCTCTCTCCGGTGGGGATCTGGAAGACCTGGGGTCCATCTGGGGCTCACCACCTTGGCGGTCCCTTGCCTTTCACCTTCTCCACCTCCTGCCTGGCTATTTATGGCCTCCTAGCCTCTGAGAACTCATTTACCCATGTCCTGCACACACGCAACAAGCCTGAAAGGGGGACGGACGGCGCCGGGGGGTGCTCTCCCTTGCCAGGCTCGGGCTGCCCCGGGGCAGGAGGTGGCTGGGAGAGGGCAGCTGCCAAGAGCCCACAGCCAGCTCAGCACCCGCTAGACCTCAGCCAGGTCGAGTCAGGTCACTGTGCTGGAAGACAGTGACCCCAGAAGAGCCCCAGACCACGTCAGAGCTCCTCCCGGCTCGGGGAAAACAA